GGATGGGTTCGACCTGGGATGCTAAGCTGTTTGCATAAGCAGAGCGTCTCTTGTATATGCAGCTTTTCAACAGTTTCTCTAAGGCGCTCGTTACTGCATCGCTGATGAATATATTCTTATCCTGAAGCAAATCTGCTTCTACCTTGTTCTTCAGTGTTGCATGCTTGCCTCCTGGTTGACGCTGATGACGGATTACAGAGGCAAGCGTCAAACATGTTAGGAATATCTCATCCAAATTTGCTACGTATCCTTCTGCATCTGTATATCACTGCAACGATGATACTTGGTGTTTTAGCTGATGAGATCAAGCGTGTACATGCGAAGCCTGATCTTTTGTGCAACATTGTCTTACGTCGTATGAAAGTAAATCTTTTTTTGATGAGCTTCCAGCATCTTCAGGCTCTGGATTTGTTTGTCATATGTATATGACATACCGTGCGATGATATATTTCACAAAATATGACGTTTAATTTCACATTTGACTAAACTGTATATTTCTTCTCTTGACACGGAATTAGTGACTATAGATGACGAAAAGTTGTCATGGGAAAGTTGTTGCCAATAAATGCAGACATTTATAGGCTCTGGTTCAATTGCAATTTCGTCATTGAAAAGGAGATTCTTGATCAGTTGATCGAGTCGTTGGATCATGTGCCAATAGAGTTTTACGATCAGCTATCAGAAGCGATCGCAAAAGGTGTGGCGATAAAACTACCCTTGGTTTCTGCGGTGCTCAGCAAACTGGACAAATTGTACAATGAAAAACTGGAGGTAAAACATAAGTTTTATTTGAAACTTGAACTAACTCTATTGGAAAAGTTTAGGTTGCTCCACCACTGTACGATGACTTCGGACGGATGGTGTTTGAAGGAGGTGTCGATCGATTTCAAATACGTTGTGCCATTGCCATGTGTCTAATGAAGATGTCGTTAATCATTCTCGAAACTGATATTAAGCAGTTCTTTGGTTTTGTATTGCACGGTGTGAATGATCGTAATCAAGAAGTGCGGGACTACATGGTCCTGGCGGGCGTCAATGGGATCAAAATACACGGCAAAGTACGCAGTTCAAAGTCCACATACATAATTATTGAGATCATGTTGAATTATAACAGAAGCTTAACGTTTCATGCTTGAATTAAACTACGAAACGATTGAAAACGCCATACCGTAGAGGAGCAAAGGACTGGAGAGCAGTTGTAAATTATCTCGACGGTTACTGTAGTCGGCTATCGTCTCTATCTGGGTTGGGGAATGGAGTCCGCTGTTCGCGCAGAAACATTTTTTAGGATTTACGAGATAGAAATTTACTTTCTACTGCTAAATGTCTGTTATTCGAAATGTATTTTCTTTGCAGTTTTGCGACTCTTCCGAGAAAAGCAAGTTCTATCTGGGTAGCTAAGAAATCTATTACTGTGAAGATTGAAATTAGCAAAATTTATTTAAAAATTAGTTACATCTACTCACTTACGTGGATTTGCTGCCTGGTGGTCGAACTGTTTTTATTGTTTGTCACTGTTAAGCCTCTGTTTAGAGAAATTTTTGCTTAGGCGCAACTGGGCCAACTTCTGCAATCCCTGGAAGAAAGACTTGACTCCCTGGAAAGCCGAGCAGACAGTGATTCGCTACAGAAAGCAATCATAGTTTTGCTAGGTGCTTTGGCTCAGCATCTTGATAAAAGCCTACACGCCGAAAAAATAAATGCTGCCGTTTCGAAACTTATAAGCTGTTTGGCGACTCCCTCACAACAGGTACTTTATTCTCTGAGCACCATGTTATGCTGTCATTTCTGGTTGTTTTCTTTATAGGTTCAAGAAGCGATTGCAGATTCCCTTGTTGGGTTGGCACCGTCAGTAAAAGAACGGGTTCCTAAGCTCATCCATGAACTCATGACTACGTTGTTCGAAACTCATAAT